CCTTGAGCCAAGATCCATCTGACAACAGCTATGATATCCCTTGTTCCACATCCTCTTCTGAGGAAAATGCATAGGAATTGGAAAATAAGGGGGGGGGGCGAAAAGTGGGGGAGGTAGAAGAAGTCACACCATACTCAGAACTAACATTTGGGCCTTTACTCTGAGTTCATTTTAAATACCTAGGTTCCCATTAGGGTAGATTTAAATTTAATTCATTCAAAAGGAACATTAGTAGGCACTGTGGGAGTGGAACCATTAAAATAAGGTATATTGTTGTTGTTGTTGTTGTTGTTATGTGCCATCGAGTCATACCCGACTCTCAGCAACCCCTCCTTGGGTTTCTCGGGCAGCATCTCTACAGACGTTGGACGTAGATGGCCCAACCTTCCTTCCAAGGAGTGGCTGGTGGGTTTGAACCACCAGCCTTCTGGTTAGCAGTCAAGTGCCTTAGGCACTATGCCACCAGAACTCCTAAAATAAGGTATATGGAACCCTAATGCTGGAATTGGTCATTTTTGTCATTCTACTAGGCTTAAAATGAGGCATCCCAGAGGCAGGAGGATCTCACTACCATCAAGAAGCAACAGCCAGGAGTGGGATATGTCCTTGGACCCAAGATTTTGTGCTGAGACAAAAATAGAGAGACAGAGGCAGCAGAACCAAGAGACCAGCATGACACAGAGCAGCAGCCTTGCTGGTAGAGAGGAGTGCACTTAGGTACACCTATAGGCAGAGCTAAAAGAGCTTTTTAATATTTGTCCCAGTAGGGCAGAGGCCAGGACAAGAAGCTACAAGGCCAAAGAGGTGTTCCTGCGGGCAGAGCAGAGAGGAGACTGTCCTGATGGAAGAACTGAATCCTGAGAGCATTTCTGAACCTGAATTATATGTTACTTTCCTAATAAGCTAATAATCGTAAATACTGTCTCTGAGTTTTGTGTGGCCATTTCAATGAATTATCAAACCCAGAAGAGTAGTAACAAGTGCCGTGGGAGGGACGATTAGTGTCAGAATTTGTAAAAATGGAGGGCAGCAGCATGTGTGGCCTCACAGTAATCAGCTTTGGGCTGCTGATGGTGATTTTCTCTCTCTCCCTTGTGAAATTAGAGAAGGGCAGAGGATGCCAACCCGATGTCCTTTTTGCAAATGTTGTAATTCAATTTTGGCATTTACCTTGTGTTTTGGTTCTCTAGTGCTGCTCTAACAGAAATACCACAGGTGGATGGTTTGAACAAACAGGGATTTATTCTCTTATGGTTTAGGAAGCTAGATGTCCAAGTTCAATGTGCCAGCCCTAGGGGCTGGGTGAAAGCCCCTCAGTTTAGGGTTTCAGTTCTGCCTCTTATTTCTGACACACTGGAGCTAGAAGTATCTCTTCATTCAGGCAACGACTGGCTGCTGAGGCTGACAAGCCCAAGGTTGACAAATAACATGGCACAGTCTCAAGATTATCAAACAACATGGCAGGCCACTAGTTCAAGTTCAGAAACAGTCCCAAGATCAACAAGCAACCCATGGCAGGCTGCTGAATGATGACTCACCTACATGCAGGGTCCAAGCATGTCAAAAAGCTCAGAGACCTTTCTCAATGCTTTTCCTTATATACTGGAAACAGACCACATCCCTAAGGCAGCTAGCTACTAACCTGCTCCAGTAGATTCCATCATGGGGCTGATTACCAGTCTCATCCTGGGGAATAACTACATCCAGCTGCCCCGCCATTCAAAACCAGGCCCAGCCAAGTTGACACACAACTTAACTACCACAATTAATATTTACCTTAATTCTTTGAAAAACATCTTATAAAAAAAATATTATTTTACCTAATAATGCTAGAAAATAAACTTCACCTATAAAGTATTGTTTAGCTGTTTCAAATATCAGTTCATTTATTAAAAGAACAAAAAGAGTACTTATTATGTGCCAGTGTGAACAATTTCCTCAACATCTAGTTGAGAGGCAGGAAAAAAAAAAAAAAAAAAAGAGGCAAAACACTTGATGAACTCATGGGGAGAAACTAACCAATCAAACACAATCATAGCATTATTAAAAGTATAAGCCAGGATTTGGGTGAAGAGAAGGGCAATGTACCAAATGTGAGTGACCAATATGGCAGCATTGAGGATGAGAAAGACAGAGAGAGTTACATGGGCAGTACAAACAACAAATATGAACCCCTTTGTAAATACAATACTGAGTTGTCAATGAAAGCAAACATGGGTATAGGGACGGATAGATGGGTGAACAAGCTAAACAATTATGTATGTCTAAATGGAGAGTGTATCCAAGATCATATACAGGGTTGGCAGACAATGGGCCTCTCGAAGAGTATGAAGGGATGAACACTGGGAGGAGGTAACTATGGGGAGGAAGTGGGAGGGGAGCTGCTGCATTGTAAATTTTGGTCAATGACATGAGACAAAGTATATGTGAACTGCTGTATGAAAAGTGAATTTACTCTGTAAATCTTCACCCAAATCCTAATTAAAAAAAAAAAAAAAGTATAAGCCAGAAAAATATAAGTAGCTTTTGATTTCTTCTGACTCTGACACCAGTGTTAGGTATTTGTTTTTGTTCAGAACTGTATTACATACAATACAAGATCACTGGCCATAAAGACTGAAAATTCTTAACCAAGTTTGAAAAAGCCAGGTATCTAGAAGGAAGAAAGATGAGGTATATCAGACAAAACACCACCAACAAACAGGTAAGTAAGCCTATGGAATATTTTCAATATCTACATTTTTATTGATGTATATACATATATGTTTAAGTACACACACACACATAAATGTATCATCTGAACCCAACTTGTCAACTAAAAACAAAACAAAGCAAAAAAAGCCACCAAAGCAAAATAAAACACAACACAAATGAAAAGCTAAGCCCTTGACCAGAGTGAATAAAGAAGTAAACCTGCCACTTCAGAACAGAAAGTCATTTCACACTGTATACCACTTTAGGGATGCTTATGTAATTAAAAAACAAAACAAAACAAAACTCACTGTCATTGAGTCAATTCCAATTCAAAGCAACCCCCTTTGGGTTTCTGAGGTGGTAATCTTAACAGAAGTAATTGCCCAGTCTTCCTTCTGCAGAGTGGCTAGTGGGTTTGAACCACCAAACCTTTTGGTTAGTAGTCAAATGCCTTATGTACTACTTATATAAGAG